GAAACGGGGCAGGAGAGAAAAATGTATGGGATTTCTTAATTAGGGAAGAAGACAAGACGAAAATATGAGAATCATATTTTACGGAAAATCTAGAAAATTAGAGATTTCTTGCGGCTAGAAGGGGGTTGGGCTTTTCAATAATTTTTTAAACTTAAAAAATTTCTGAAAAATGGGCGGAGCCTCAAATTTCAACATTTTTTGAATTATCGAAAAAAGCTTATTTTTTCAGAAAATTGAAAAATATCGAATTTTTGAAAAAACAAATTTTGAGTTTAAAAAAAGGGCGGAGCCTAATTAGACAGTTCTAAAAAGGATAGTTTCTGAAGCTCGAAAAATTCCATTCTCAAGAATTTCAAAAAAAGTGGGCGGAGCCAAAACTTAAAGATGCTTTACAGAAATTGAAAAAAGCTTTTTTTTCCCGAAAACTATTAAAATTTTGCGAATTTTTGAAAAGACCGATTTCCCCCTTTAAAGAAGCCAGAAATTGCTTTTTCTGAAAAAATTAGAAAGCAACTTTTCTCAACTTTAAAAGCTTCTATTTTTCTGGTTTTATTCGAAACATCGGCGAAAAAAATCTCCCGAGGCGCGCCAGCCTTTTTTGCCGCCTCTTTTTCAAATTCCCTAGAAACTACAAACTACACAATTTTTGCGCCACAGAAGAAAAAATGCATTTTTCAGACGTTTGTTGATTTTTGCATGAACACTTGATGGTGTGAAAATTGATGGAGAGAGAGAAAAAATCAAAAATCGTAAAGTTTTTTTTTTTGAGATGAATCATCGAAAAAGGAAAAACTGAACGAACACTGTCTCAGGGAAATTTTTGAAATTTTGAAAATTTAAAAACAAAATTTCAGGAAAATCAAATTTTCAGATTTTCAGAAGAATCTTTTTGAAAAGTTCCACGTTGCAAATTGAAGATTACTGTAGGTAGAGTAACCCTGAAAGGTTTCAGGCTAAAACAAAAGAACGGACATACAGACACACTTACAGAGTAAACAGGAAAGCAATGAAAACATTTTGTAGTTTGTCTTTTCTGTGTTTTCGAAGAAACCTGAAACTTAAAACGGCATGAAGGGGGATTATTTTTCACCTGTTTCAAGCTTTTCAAGTTTTTCAAAAAATTTTCACTTCCAAAAAAGTTGAAAAGTTGTCAAACAGCGAAAAGAAGAATGCTGCAAAATTTTAGATATTTTTCGAATTTTCTTAACAAATTGGATATTTTTGGAAAATTCAAAAATTAGTTTTTTTTTTAGTTTTTCAAAAATTCCTTATTTTTTCTGTTTGGGTTTTAAAAACTGGAAATTTTTAATTTTTCCAAGAATTCGAAAACATTTAATTTTCAGCCTAAAATCTGAAATTTTCCACAATTTTTCAGCTTTTCAGATTTTTCCACTTTTTCGAATAAATTCTCAATTTCCATTTTCAACCGCTTTGCAGTTACTGTAGAAGCTAAAAACCCTTCAAAACTACAGTATTCCCATTTTGCGTTAAAGTCAAATTACTGTGTTCCTCGCTAATAGAAGCCCACCCAAACTGGCAAAGTCGAGCTCAATTATCTCGATTCCTGTAAGAGATATCAAAAAGTGGTCAAATGAAAAAATGTTGCTGATTTTATGATAAACATTTGGCCAGTTAACAGATTTTTGTTATCTCTTACAGAAAATGAGATAATTCAGCTCAAATTTTAAAAAAATCCGCGCTTGCAGCAGCGGCTGCGGACATCTGAACTTTGAGGCATTCTATCTCAGTTCCTATCAGAGATATCAAAAAGTAGTAAACTGATGAAATATTTTTGATATTATGATAAACATTTTATCAGTTTACAAATTTTTGCTATCTCTCATAGGAGCCGAGATAATTGGCTCAAAGTAGACCATTTGGGCGGGCTGCTAAATACGGTAATAAGGCGCGAAATGAGTATAATGTCGTTGTTAAGCGATTTAAACACAAGTTCTGAATTTTTTTATTTAACGAATATTTATAAATGTTCCAACCCAAAAGAAAAAAGTATATTCATTGCTCCTCCATTCATTGCCCAACAAAAGACTATAATAGTATCTCCTCATGTATTTATATAACTAACACCCAAAAGAGAGCCTACAAAAAAACAACAACAACAACACTCAAAGCTTTTCCTTCTTCTTCTTCTTTCCCGAAAAAAAGCTCCTTTTTCTTCTTTTCCCTGAAGACGTGAGGAGCAGCGTCTCCAGAATCTTTGAAAGAGAGAGAGAGGAGCAGAGAAAAAGAGCATTTCTCTGGCTCGGACTGCTCTCTCTTTCTGAGCCCCCAACACACGCCCCATACTCTAGAGTCTCTCTTTTTCTCTTCTTCTTCTTTTTGCTCAGTTTTACCACCCCCCCCCCCCCCTCTCCTTCTTCTTCTTCTTCTTCCTCAGACACTCTGAATCGATGAGGCGTCCGACGACGACGTCGTCAAACCAATACAGAAGAATCATACCTTTTAATTCTTCTTCTTTATCTTCTATTCCTTGTTCTTATCTATTTCAATATTACTCGTTCCTAATTCTTATCATATTATGCTCTGCTAGGGGTACTGTCACTGAGGGCGGCCAACCCCTCACCGAATTGCTCAGCTCTCTCGATCAACCGTATCCTTGTGGACATGTGGTTGAGGCTGAGCACTTTTTGAGCACCGCCGTGGCTCTCAAATTCCCTCGGCTCATCCAACTAGCACATTTTTTTGCGAACCATTCTAAGAACTTTGATCCGCAGCTTCTGGATAAATCATCGTTCCTTCCGTATCCACCGTTTGAAGTCTCTTTCGCCAGGAGGACACATTTCTATGGTCTACAGTTGAATTGTACTGGAAACAACCATCGGTAAGCAGGGTGTAATTTTTTGAAATATTTTTTTTTAATTTTGAAAACTGTGTTAAACAAATGATTTAACTGTGTAGTTTGATTTGAGTAGATTGTTCCCATAATTTGAATTTTGAGAGTCTAATTTAGTCAAAATTTCAAAAAAAAACATTTTTTTGGAAATTTAGTTTTTCTCTAATTTTAAGCGATTTTCTGGATTTCCAGACTTCTAGTATTGATTTTTGGAGCATTTTCCATGATTATTATGTAGTCAAACCCTTGAAAAAGTGTTCCTGAAAATTTTTGACACCAAAAAAAATTTTTTAACCTAAAAAATTTTTTTTTTGAATCTCATAATTGCTTTTTTTTGACTAATTTTAAAATGTAAAATTGAGCCCATATAGCCTGGAAAATATAATTTTTGTTGTTTATAGTTTTTCTGATCCTGCAAATTGCAATTTCCGAAAAAAAAATTTTTTTGGTCAAAAATTTTTTTTCCACTTGTTTTTGAAATTTTCAGATTTTCTTGTCAAAATCTCAATTTTTGATGAATTTCAAATAGTTGGACTATCCCTTGATAGAAGCCTCTTTCATGAATTTCTTAAGTTTTCAGAATTGGAAAAAAATTATTTTAAAACTTTTTTTTGGATTTTTCCAAATTTTTCGAAATTCCGAAAGTTCTCTGGATTACTGTATCTCAATTTCTCATATTTCTAATTTTCTAAGTAACTCTGACTCATATCCCTATAATTATATTCTACAGTAACCCTCTCTCCCAAAACTGTCAACAACATTTTCCTAAAATTTTTGGCAATTAGGTTCTTCCATCTTGCCTCATCTATCAAAAATATAATTCCAGTCAATTTCCTACGAATACGGTATTTTTTTGCAAAAAAAATTTTGATCAGTTTTCTATGTTAGCCAAAAAGAAATTTCCATTTTATAATCTTTTATCATCCTGGGAGATAGAGGGGGATTAGATTAAGAAATAAAACAAGAAGGAAGAAAGAAAAACTAGAAAAAAAGGGATTCTAGGACTTTAGGAAGTGTCTAGCAAAATCTGAAAAGATAAAAAACCAAGTTTCCTCATAGAGGAGTTGAACTCGCGGAGAGTCGCACCAAAACGGCCAGCGTTAGCCAGTAGGCCACAGTGCCGCACCAGCCAAAGAGCTGTGGATGGCGTATATAAAGGAGGGGGAAAGCTCGCACGAGTGGGAAGCTCACTGGGGACCTGAATTCATAAAATATAAAAAAAATTTCCAAAAATTCTGAAAGTCAAAATTCTGAATTCGTTCCAGATGGCTTCCACGTCTCGTCTTTGTGTCTCACGACCCGAACAATGTCAATCGCAAAGCCTATCTCACCCTTCAACTCGACCAATTCGACGTGGATATGTGCTCCGCAGTGGATTGCCATACAAAAGTTAGTTTTTGGTGACCTAGGTTTTTCTAGGCCACGTCAGCTTTTGTTTGTCTCGAAGCCTTCTTAACTCTAATAAGTGGTCATTAGGCAAGAGCTGTGTCTCATATACCGCAAAAACAATTCCACGTCACTTTTCGAAAATCTGGCCTAGTAGTCCCCCAGAATTTCTAGGCCAACAAAGTTGTAGTAGGTCAAAAAAAATTGGCACCGTGGATGCCCCAAGGGACCACCATCCGAGATTGACACTTTGACGAGGGGCTTTTTTGCGTTTTTGGGGAAAAAATTTTTGCCTAGCTAGCAAAACTTTTCAAATCCCCGAGAAAAGCAATCGCGCTCCATTGAGAAAGATCAAATCAGGTGGCGTTTTTTGCTCTGCTCGTGGTTCCTCTCTCCCAAAAACACTAATTTACACCATGAACAAAACTATTACACAGTGTGTGGAAAAGATGTGTTTGTGTGTATGTGTATCTCGATTTGTTTGTTGATATCATGTCAGAAAATCAAAAGAAAAAATAAAAGAGAGAAATCTGAACAAAAATTGAGGTCCCAAACGATGTTTAAAAAAATAAAAGAGGTTTGACGCATGGTGGAGTCGAACCAGTAAGGGGTGTGGGAGGGTGGATTGCAAAACAGCAGCGCTAGCCACTGCGCCACACAAGTGTACACTTGTAATAGGTGCGTAAGGCATATAGAACAAAGGTGTGAAGCGGCAAGGAGCTGGGAAGCCCAAGGATGACGAGGGACATGAATAACAGTAACTGAAATTTGGAAAAATTCTGAAAAAACAAAAAAAACGAGAAAAGTCAATTTTTACTGAGGCTTAGCAGAAATTGTAGTTTGTAGTTTCTAAGCCTCAGTAAAAGCTGGAATGCTTTACTGAGGCTTACCCAATACAAACTACAAAAGCTACGTAGCCTCAGTAAAATTTCAAAGTGTCCTAACTCGGCTCATTTTCAAGCGTCTTCAACGATTATTGGCTCAAAATTCATGAAAATTTTCAGACACTACAAACTACAAAATTTTAATCTCTGAAAAATTTCATGAATTCTGAGCCAAAAATCGTTGAAAAAAATGAGCCGAGTTAGAACGCTTTTAAATTTTACTGAGGCTTAGGAAATTTGTAGTTTGTAGTTGCTAAGCCTCAGTGAACTAGATGCCGACAAATTGAGTTCCACTGAAGCTTAGACGCTTCTCTAGTTTGTAGTGAGTTTAGCCTCAGTAAATCATTCCAAGTTTTACTGAGGCTTAGAGGCTACAAACTACAAAACCCTCTAAGCCTCAGTAGAAACTTCAAATCCCTCTTTTTTTTAAGAGTCACGCCGGCAGGGAAAATCTTTTTCAATCCTCCCCCCTCCCTGGTGAATCAGCTGATGAATCAATAAAAATAAAAATTTATTAATGAGAAACGGTTTAAAAATAAAATCTTCCAAAAAACAAAAAGAAGTAGGGAATTAAATTGAAAGTTGACATTTTGAGAAAAGTGGATATGGCACAAAAATTAGATTCGTCTCCAAATTCTTCACAATTTCGTCTGATTGAAGCAAATCATGTTGGTTTGAATTCGTTCCGTTTTCAGAGTAATTCATTGTTCGAATCGAAATTCTTGATTCCTGATCAAAACTCGATGACTGAAAATGTATTTTTGAATTGCTTAAAAAATACATACTCACAAAATTGTCGATTTTTTTTGCAGATTACTGTGAAAAGTGAGTTCCGACTGTTTAAATTCGACTAGTTCAACTTCCGTTTGATCGAAATGAGAAGGAAATTTTATGTTGACAATCAAGAGTATCTGAAAAATCTGATAATTTATAGTTTTATGAAAAACGCACAATTTCAAACCTTCTCGATTATCTTTTTGTCGCAAGTTGGTTGAGAAGTTGAGAGAACCATATTTTCTAAAAATTGGAAAAATATTTGAGTATTGTAAGGAATTTCGGAGCTTCGCTTCCTCGCCGGCAGATGATTTTTCTTTCCCTACCATACCGGCATGACTCTCTATGTCGCCGGCGTGACTCGTTCTGGCCGGCAAGCAAAATTATCATGCCGAATCAGAAATTTTCATGCCGTCAATGGTTTTCCTCGCCGGCAGGACAGAAGCTTGTAAGCCTCAGTAAAACTTGATTTTTCGGTAGCCCTATTTACTGAGGCTTACAGACTACAAACAACAAAATCTTCTAAGCCTCAGTAAATCCAACACGCGCGTTTTACTGAGGCTTAGCAACTACAAACTACAAAGAAGTCTAAGCCTCAGTAAAATCTCAATGCGTTCTAACTCGCTTCGTTTACATCCGTTTTTCATGATTTTTAGCTCAAAATTTCTCTCTTTTTTTTGCTATTTTTTGCATTGTGTAGTTTGTAGTCTTGTATGAAGCCCCGAGTGTAAACATTTTCTCTTCCTGGTGACGTGGCACAAATTTCGTCTTTCTCTTCATCATCATCCGCTTGTCTGCGTCTCTCGCTCTCTCTCTCGTTTCCAGTCTAAAAACGGATAATGTGATGTGCTTGTGTGCTCTTTTTCTCTTCTTCTTCTTCTTCTTTTTGAAGGCTTCAGGATGAAAAAGAAGCACATACATAGGCATTCCCATTCCCGGGCGGTGCATTCATTCATTCATATATTGATATATTGGGGGAAAAAAAAGAGAATGCGATTTTTCGGCGGCGGAGAATTTTTCTTTTTCTTCTTCTTCTTTTTCCTTCTCTCCATCAATTTTGCCCCCCCCCCCCCCTTCTTCTTTCTTTGTGAGCTCATCTGAGCTCAGAGGAAAAGTGGGCGGAGCTTCGAGCGCACACACACACGCTTCAATGGTCCCCAGAAGGTCCTCCGTGCTCCGAAAAAAAAAGAAAAGAGAGAAAAAGAGACATTTGAAAAGAGAGAAAAAGGGAAAGGAATGGAGGAGTACATTGGGGCGCATTTGAGATTACGGTAATTTTGAAAATTGGGAAATTCGGTCACAATTAATTATTTTAAATTTAAAAAAGTACTAATTTATCGGGAATTCTAGGTTTAGAAAATGAAAAATTTTGTAAAAAAATTCAAATTTCAAACATTTTAGAAAAAACCAACTTCAAAATTTTTTAATTTTAAAAAAGATTTCAAGTCTCAAAATTTGAAAAATCCAAAATTTCAACATTTCAAAAAAATATTAACCAGCTAAAGCACACAGAAACCAGATACAATACTCCTTGCTAGAACTTCAGTAATCCTTTTCAGAATTTGAATGAAAAAAAAATTCAAAAAATTCCAGATTTTCAGAATCCGAAAAAATACAAAAATTCAAAATTTTCGAAAACTCAAAAAAATTCAAATTTCAGGGTTTTTTGAAAAATCCAGAAAATTTAAATTTTAAAATTTTCAGAAAACTCGAATTTCACTAAAAAAATGACCAGCTGAAAACACGGAAACCCGATACAGTACTCCTTCCTAGAACTACAGTAGTCCGTTAGAAAATGTTCTCTAGCTACAGTAATCCTTCTAAAATCTACAGTAGTCCTAAACAATCTACAGTATCCTTTCTGACTTGTTTTTTAGGTTCCTTCGAAATATCTGGGATAAAATTCAACAAAAATCTTTTTTAAAAAATTATGAAAAATTTATTTAGCTACAGTAATCCTTGGAAATCTACAGTAATCCTTCATTTCAAATAAATTATAGTTTTTTTTCAGATTTTTTCCAGGGTTTTCGTAATAAATTGAAAGACATGAAAAAAAATTTCAAAACTTTTTCTAGCTACAGTGACACTTGCAAGTCTACAGTAATCCTAATTTCTTGTTTTTTTCAGTGTACATGGACGGTGCACGGAGGTCTTCGAGTTTCAGCCAAAGCATGCTGCAATTCAGAAGACGTCGTTTTGTGTCGAACCGATGCGGAGAGAGGTTGGTTTTCAAGTACGTTTTCTCTTCTTTTTTTTTTCTTTGCCCCGCCCCTTTTTTACTAATTTTCGAATTTTTTGGTTTTTAACAAAAAAATTTTTTTCTGAATTTTTACTAACCTAAATAAAAATAACTGGAATGATTTGAAATGGATTGGAATGGTTTTTTCTTTTGCTTCTAGATTTTTTTTTTAATTTCAGTCAAAAAAATTTTTCCAGAATTTTTCATTTTTCAGGACGACACATGCTGCTAGCCTTCAATTCAATGTGTGCTCTCGTGTGTATCGGACTGATTCCAATAGTTTGTTATCAGAGAAAACGACAACATGAGGTAAGCGAGTTAGAACGCATTGAGATTTTACTGAGGCTTAGACTTCTTTGTAGTTTGTAGTTGCTAAGCCTCAGAAAAACGCGCGTGTTGGATTTACTGAGGCTTAGAAGATTTTGTTGTTTGTAGCCTGTAAGCCTCAGTAAAACTTGGAATGATTTACTGAGGCTAAACTCACTACAAACTAGAGAAGCGTCTAAGCTTCAGTGAAACTCAATTTGTCGGCATCTAGTTCACTGAGGCAAATTTTCATTAATTTTGAGACAAAACTCGTTGAAAACGCTTAAAAATGAGCCAAATTGGAACGCTTTGAAATTTTACTGAGGCTTATGAATTATGTAGTTTGTAGGCTAAGCCTCAGTAAACTAGCTGCCGACAGCCTAAGGTTTACTGAGGCTTAGAGGCTTCTGTAGTTTGTATTGTGTTTAGCCGCAGTAAACCATTCCAAGTATTACTGAGGCTTAGCCACTACAAACTACAATTTTTGCTAAGCCTCAGTAAAATAGATGTTTCAGTTTTTTTTTCGTTTTTCCGCAATACTTTCATGAACCACAATGTTGCTGCCTGTGAGCCACGTAGCTTTTTTAAACCAAAATGTTTGTAGTTTGTAGTTTGTAGCCAACAAAGTTTTTTAAAAATTGTCTGTTTTTGCAGGCACGTGGCTGGGCTCTGATGGAGCTGTTCCTGATCGGCGCCTCGATTCTCTACTCGGTCCTTTTTCTGGATATCGTCGCACCGCCCGAGTACGGTTGCTGCGTGGCAGTTTGGTTGAGGCAGATTGGATTCTCGATTTTTTATGGATCGATTGTTCTCAAGATTTATAGGTTGGTACTTGGATTTTCAGGAATTCAGAAATCCACGTGGCAAATTTTTTTTCCAGGAATCTTCAAGAATATCGAGTGCGGAAGGCGCAACATGTATCGGTTCGAGAGCAGGATATGCTGAAATATCTAGCTGCCATGTTGGCCCTAACCATCACTGGTCTGATGGCTTGGACCGTTGGCTCATGGGGAGACACTGCTCTTTGGAGGACTGCCTGGCCGCAGTGTCTTATGCAGGGATGGCATGTCATTTGGCATGGCTACGAACTGCTATTCCTGCTATATGCAGTCCGTTTGTGTTATAAAGCCAGGAATAGTGACTGGTTGGAGAGATGGCAGTTCACTGTGGCGGTATGCTTAGAAGCTGTCATTACATTGATGGCTAATTTGATTAGGTAAACCTATTTTTTGGATTTTAATTTTTAAGAAAATATTTAGGTACTCTATTCGAAATTCTGGACGGGCAGACACCCTATTCATAGTATCATTTGTGCACCTGCAATTGACAGTTTCGGTGAATATTGTGATTATTGTTGCTCCGAAATTCTACCTATCCAATGGAGAGCCCAGCCGACGATCGATGACACTGGGAGGACACTCGGGGCGGGCGCATCCGTCGCTGGCAAAACTCAGAGATAATATTCTGAACGGAACCATTGACTTTGCCGAAGTTCCGATCGTTGACATGAATCCAGAGGATATTCGAGTAAGGAAGTGACCCGATTTCCTGTTTTCTATTGTTTTTATTTTGCAGGCTGAGCTGAAGCGTGTCTACACGCAACTGCGAATGTACAAGTTGAAGAATTTGTATCAAGACAATCCGCACATTTCGAAGAAGCGGGGAGGGAAGAAATGGAGCGATAAGAATACCAAAGCGACGCGACGGATCTCGATACCGTCGTGTTCGCCACAAGCCAAACGGATAGAGGAGGACGAGAAGAGTGATCTGACAGTGGAGTCGTCGCCCCATAACATCTATTTGAGCAATTTCAAAGGAGCAAATGTGAATAACATTGAGCAACACAATTCAGTTCGGGTCTAGAAGCTCACTTATATTTCTTTCTGTGCACTTTTCATTGTTG